TGTTGTCCAGATCTTAGAGGAAACACTTCCACCATTTCCCTGCTCTGTGTGGTATTTGCTGTTGGTTCAATTTTAATCATGCTCTGTTCCTTGTATGCCTATTTTTTGAGTTTTTGTTTTATGAAGAATTTGAAGTTATCAAAATTTGCTTGCATCTATTCAGATGATCATATGGTTTTTGTCCTACACCTCTTGATGTGATGAATCACATTTATTAACTTTCATCTGTTCTTGCATCCTTGCGATAAATCCCACTTGATCTTAATTATAACCTTCAAGATGCTGGTATATTCAATTTGCTAGTATTTTTTTTTTTTTTTGGAATAGTTTCCATCTATGTTCTTTAAGGATATTGCCCTGTGGTTGTTTTCTTTTTTGTTGTGTCCTTATCTTGTTTTGGTATCAGAGTAATTCTAGCCCACATTGAAATACTTTGGAGGAATTCACAATTAACAAATCAGCTGAATGAGTTGTGAGTGATTTTTGAAAAACTGATGTTATAGCTTAATTTTTTTTCTATTTTCTGTTTTTTGAGACAGGATGTCACTATGTAGTTCTGGCTGGCCTTGAAGTCATTGTGTAGCCCAGGGTGGCTTCAAAATTGTGGTGATCCTTCTGGGTTAACCTCTCTAGCACTGTGATTACAGGCATGCACCACCACATTTGGCATAATCTTGGAATTTTTGAAGAATGTATGTTAGTTCTGAAAAGTCTGCTAGACTTCAGCAAAGAAGCCATCTACTGCTAAGCTTGCTCATTCTATTCCTGTTTCTTTTTTTTCTTTCTTTCTTTCTCTCTTTCTTTCTTCCTTCCTTCCTTTCTCACTTTTCTCTTTCTTTCCTTAGTTCCTTTCTCTTTTTCTTTCTTTCTTTCTTTCTTTCTTTCTTTCTTTCTTTCTTTCAAGGATGCTTTACTACTGAGTCAATCTTCTTGCTTTTTATTGATCATGTCCTTCCTTCTATTACTTGGCACTTAGATACTGCTGTGTCCAGGAATTTACACTTTTCTTTTTGGTAATCCAATTTGTGTGCATATTTGTTCCTAAGATTTTTATGATGATTCATTGTATTTCTGTGGAATGAGTTGTAATGACTTCTTTTTACCACTCATTTTATGGTTTAGGTGTTCTTTTCATAGTCCAACAAAAAATTGTCAATTTTCACTATCTTTAAAAATCTTCTTTTGTTATATTGTGCTGAGTGTTTTGGGCTTGGAATAAATTTTATTTATTCTCTAATTTTGCATTTTCCCTTTAATTTTACTGTTTTCATTGTTTTATTCATATTTTCAGATTTTTGATTTGCATCATTAGGTTGATTACTGAGATCTTTCTGTTTTTTTAGATTGTTTTATAAACTTCCTTCTTGTTGCTGTTTTTGCTGTATTCTAAAAGTTTTATTATATTGTGATGACATTTTAAGTTGTTTCATGGGTTTTCATAATGGAATACATTTTAGCTTTTATTAACCTGCAATGTATCCAAAATACCTCCTTTTTAATCTGAGGAATCACTAATACACATTCAAGAAAACTTATTTTAACTTCCACATATGATGCAGAGAGGAAGGGCTACAAGACTTTCTGTGTCTGGCTATTTTACTTAATGTACTGCAACTTGATCCATGTTGCTGCACCTGATAGAATTCCATTTTACTTTCTGGCTTAATAATGCTACATTTTGTATGTATATCATTTTAAAAATCCATCTGTTGACCAGCACCTTCCATGATTCCAATTTTAGCTCTTGTGAAGAGTGCTCCAGTGAATATGGACATACAGCTACGTTTTTGATATGCTGACTTTATTTTCTGTGTACATATTCCCAAAGTGAGATAGCTCAGTTATATGGTAGTTGTATTTTTAGTTTGTAGAGGAACCTCCATAACATTCTTCATAGTGACCAAACTAATTTACATTCCTACCAACAGAGTATCATAAATATTTTACTGATTATTAAATTCCCTCATTGGCTCATTAGTTGCAAACCAATTTTTTTTTTCATTACCGGGGATTGAAGTCAGGCTCTTGCACTTGCAAGGAAGGCAGCAGCAGCACAGAGATAAATCCTCAGCCAACCAAACAACATGTTTTTAAATTCCTGTGTATGTGTACAGTTTCCAAAGTTTTACTTCTTTTTGTTATCTAATTTTATTCTACTTAGGTCAGAAAATATATGGTACATGAATTTGTGTTTTGGCCAGGTGTGATGGTGCACACCTGCAATCCCAGCATTTGAAAGGCTGAGGCAGGAGAATTGTGGTGAATTCCAGGCCTGCCTGAGCTAAATAGGGAGTTTCACATCAGCCTGAACTACATATAGAGAACCTATCTGAAAATACTAAAAACAAATGAGTAAAATTAAATAAAACAATTTTGTATTTTAAGAAGTTGTTCATATGTGCTTTGTGGTTGGTCCTAAAAATTGTTTCCTGAGGTGATAAGAAAAAATTTTGTTTGGCAGATTTTGACTAGGATATTAGGTAAATTTCTTGTAAGTAATTTCTACTTTAGTGCAACACAAGGCATTTGAGAAAGAAGGGTTTAAAAACCTAGGAATTATGAATAAAAGACTCTATCCAAAATATACGTGAAAAGAAACTGCCTCATCAATTTAGGGTCTATGTATAAAACAGTAGGCTGAATAAATATTGAGTATGCACAAAGAATATTTTCTTTTATTTCACATTTTAATAGGCTCAATATTTATTTTTGTGTAATATTACTTTATTCTTTTTCCTCATTTTTCACATAGAGTGTTCAATTTGTAAAGCTTCTTAACATTTTGATGACATCTCTACTGTTGTCTATCTTTTATGCTTATTCAAACTTGGCTGGAATGTCATCAGTATAATCATTGTTCTTTCTCAAAGACTCTCTCGACATGCCTGAGTTTGTTAGATGTATTTCCTTCTTCATGTCTATTACCTGTAATAAAAGTAGGGCATGTTGCTGTATATCTGCAGAATGCCTATTTTCATTGCCCATATTGTTGCTTAGTTAGGGGACATTGTAAACTGATAGAGACTGATGTATTGAGGAAAATATTACCTAAAGGACACTGGAAATTGGACAAATTAATACTAACTGTTGAAACTGCCTTCTGGCCTGTATGCTAAATCAGCTATTCTTGGAGTGCTCTTTATGTAAGGGACCAAAGCAAGATAATGATATCATGGTTGTGGAGCTTAATCTATACAGCTCCAACCCTGCAATAACTGTCTGTGGGACAGAGCAATGTAGACAAGATAAATGCTAATAATTCAGCCTGTTGCTGCTGGACACTACTAGGTTCTTTCTTTCTGTATTATTGGGTTTTTTTGTTTGTTTGTTTGTTTGTTTTTGGTATAGGGGATCAAACTCAGGGCCTTGCACTTGTGTGGCAGGCAGCAGAACCACTGAGCTAAATCCCTGGCCCAGAACTAGTTCTTTCTAATGAATGCATGTCCTCCCTGTTGCCACCAGACTTCCTTTCCCAACACATCACTGGGTATAGTCTTTATTTTGTAGGTAACATATTACATTCCTAGCACACCTAGTCTATAGATGGGATTGTCAATAAGTTATCAAGAGTTCAATACTATTATTCACTGTGTGAGTCATAAGATTCCTCTATCCAAGTATTTAGAAGAAAAAATATTTATTCTTAGTCTAGATATACTGAAATAGAAGTGAAGGATAATAAGGAAAGTTTTGACCTTATGAAGTAAAATTTCCCTAGCTTCAATTAATTCTATGCTTTGACTCTTACCTGTTTCTTCAAAAAAAATGGGAGAAAATAAATCAACTGTTAAAGATAAAGTTGGAAGGAATCATTCTTCAAGACTGAGCCTGTGAATCCCAATACAATAAAATTAAGTTGGAAAATTATAGTTGTTTTAGAATATTCTCAAAAATCTCCTTGATTTCAAAAGCTTTCTCATTATTCATTACTTTTTCAATGTGGGTGTGAAGATCTTATTGAGACCACAGTCTATTTCATGTTTGACTCTAAACTAGTCATGAGATTTTAAAAAATTTCTTTGGTGAAAAAGACATGGGATGTATGTTACCTCAGGAAAAACTCGTGTTCCTAAATCCTAAATCTTCATTTCAAGGAGCAGCAATAGTTAATTGTGAGAGATTATTATCCTATTAAGGACACTATTATGGAATCAAGTTTGTGTGGAATTTATTCTTTATTCATATGCATCAAAGAGAATATAAAACATCAAAAAATGAAAATGACAGTTTTCACGCATATTACTCACTCACCTAAACTTTGATGTTAATGACATACTTTTAAAAAAGAATAATGTAATCCAAAGCAATGAAAGAAATCATAGCTTAGAAAGCACTAGAAAATGCTAACCCAGGTGACAAAATGAATAATTGGAACATAAGCAAACTCTCCTGTCCATTAAATTAAATACTTGTCATAACACCGGTATTGCCTTGTGAACTTTCCAGCCATTTCAAGAGAATTTGCATTTCAATGAGCAGATGTACATAATCTAACTTATTTTCATAGATATATGACTGAATTTCAATGTAGAATGAAAATATGTACTTACATAAGAATTTTTCTGATTTTTAAGGCCATATTAAATAAACTGATCTATGCAAACTTGTTTATGCTGGCTGCACATTGAATATGCATTTGATAGCAACATTCATTATAACTTTTGACAAGGAGTATACAATGCATTGTGAAAAATGTGGAGAATAAGAGAATAGTATTCTTATGTGGATAATAATTTCCCACAGTGAACTATAAAAACATCATTTGGAAGGCTACATCATAGAGATGTACATCATCTACATCACTAAATATAGCCAAAAAAGATTAAGGGAAAAAAGGTTTAAAAGTTGCAGTCTCAGAATTTCTTTTAAATAAAAATATACAATGACATCAATTGTTTGTTGTTCCATTGAATTACTTCATCACATCACTCTGTGAGACTAATGGATAATCTCCAAATTTTTTCTGATGCTTAATTTGGAAGGACTGGCAAAAAATTAGACAGATAAAACATTGGATATCAAGGAAAGTAGAAACATTACAAATGAGGTTGTTTTAATTCTATGCAGCAGTTGAAATTCAAGAAAATACTTCTGAGAAAAAATTGCCCTTCACTATTCCATTAAAGAAGAGCAGTGTGTGGCTCTGAGATCTAGAGTACCATGATAATAGATACTTCCTGTAAATTGACTCTTATGGCTTCCCTCTGGAGAGTCTTCTCAGAGCTCCCATTATGTCCTTATTCCTCAGACTGTAAATGAAGGGATTCAGCATGTGTGTGATGATGCTATACATCACTGAGGCTCTTGCAGTTGATTGTGTGTTTTGGCTAACAGAAGAACTACGGTAAACACCCAGGATAGTAAAATAGAATAGGGAGACAACAGAGATGTGAGATGTACAGGTAGAAAATGCTTTATACCTCCCCTGAGCTGATGAGATGGCACTAATGGAGGAATCTATTTTAGCATAAGAGTAAAGAATACCAGCAAAGGGACCGCCACCTAGAAGCACAACTGCAAAGTACATCACTATGTCATTAGCAAAGGTGTTAGAACATGCAAGTTGGATTAATTCATTAATCTCACATAAAAACTGTTGGATTTCCAAGTCTGTGCAGAATGACAGACTCAAAGTCATTAAACTTCCTAACAAGGAATATAAGGCAGCTGTGACCCAGGACACCAGCACTAGCAATCCACAGACCCTGAGGTTCATGATGACCATGTAATGCAGAGGGTGACAAATGTCCAAGAAGCAGTCATAAGCCATCACTGTCAAAAGCAAGCTGTCCAAAACTCCAAAGAGTGTGAAGAAGTATACTTGGATGATACAGCCTTCATAAGTGATGACCTTGCTATGAATCTGGATGTTCACCAGCATCTTTGGGATGCTGGTAGACGTGAAGCCAATGTCTGCAAAAGACAGGCTGGAGAGGAAGAAGTACATGGGTATATGCAGGTGGGAGTCTGACACTGTGAGCAGAATGATGACCAAATTCCCAAGCACAGTGACCAGGTACATAAACAGGAATAGTCCAAAGAGGAAGGGTTGTAAAGTGGAGTTCTCTGAAATTCCCAGAAGAAAGATTTTGTAAATTTGTGTGGCATTTTCTGGTTCCATATAGTTGTTGGGACTAACAGAAAAAGTGAAAAAAAAAATAACATGACACAATTATGGAATACAAATCTGACAGAAATGCCAACATTCATATTTTAGAGAATATACGAGTTCTTCAGTTTTGTTAATTTTTCCCCTTTAGAGGATCCCCTTGATATTTCTGAAGTGTAATCCTTGTCTCACTCAATCTCTCCCAAGAGGGTATGTATTAAAATATTTTAATTTCTTTATATCTCTGAGAAATATAATTGCATGATGGTCAGTTCAAATCATTGTCTAGGCAATTACTTATCAGTACTAAAATATTTCAGTGTCCATATAATTAAATGAGAAAGAAATAACACAGTCCAATTCAAATCAAGTATAAGTTAGGAAAGAATTTTCATGCACCATGGGAAATGGCGCCCTGTATTCTGATGAAAAAAGAAATCAGTTTTAATAAGAAGATTCCACATGATCTACTTTTATGTGCTAGATATTCAGGTAAGACAAGCAAGTACATGACATTTTAAAAGAGACTTTGAGGAAAAACAAGGAGAAATCCACAAATCATTTTCAGAAGGTTGTCTGGGAAGAGGGAAGAACCAGTGCAAAAGTCCTTAAGAAAGTACTTGTTTCAAGGTTTCAAAATCAACAAGGTGACAATCTGGTAGGAAGCATAGGGAAGAGAGGCCAATGAGAGAAATGAAGAACAAAGTGGCCTCATTGCTGCTGAAGATTCAAGACACAAGAAATCTGTCTGTATAGACCTTATTGGGTTTATGTTTACAAGTTGGCCCCAATGGCTGGGTGAATTAATTGAAATGCATTCCCTCTTTATTTTTTTTTGTTATTGTTATTTTATGTTCTAGACTCTCCATTATGACTTACATTTTGAAACATATTGAAACACGGTTCTTTTCTCTGAAGTCTGCTTTCACCTCCAAAGGCAAACCCATCCATGCATGCACACATACAAACACACACACATACACACACAACTTAAAAATATGCCATAACTCACGATCTCCTGAGGTCAGGTTAACAATGTGTTCTTCTAACCTGAAGTCAGACTGTTTAAAGGAAATTGTTACAAGGCAAGCAATCAATGTGAAAATATTTTTTTCTTAAATTCTTTTGTTGGTACATTTTAGGTATAAAATAAATTTATATTTATCATAGTGTACTTGTACCTGTATATGATGGATCTTGGTTCTTATTTTTTCCACATTCCTTGATCTCCCTTCACCCCCTCCACCCTTCCCTATTTACAAAGACTTTGTTTCTATTTTTTCCTTTTCTTATAATTTTTCCTTTTGAAGGGGGGAAGGAATGAATATAGTCTCTTCACAGTATGTAAGAATTGTATACCGAAATTCAGTTCATATAATTCTCATATACATATTACCTGGGACTTCCATTTCAACATTGCTATTTTCTACCCTATATTAAAAGAAATAGAAAATATCTGTCAATAAACACACAAAAAGGGATAAACTGAATAGGTCTGAAGAAAAGGATTGTAAAAAAGTAAATGCATCATTGTTTCTGGCTAAATCTCAAATTTTTTAAAATCCAATTTTATCCTGTGGAGGAATAGGAAAAACAAGAACAAAAACAAGTTTCTCAAAATACAAAAGTGATAATATCGTTTTTACTATCAAGACATTTATGTGGACCAGGCATTTAGCTCAGTGGTTCCTCCACCTCCCAGGCAAGGGCAAAGTCCCAAGTTCAATCCATGGTACCAAAAAAAACCCCCCAAAAAGACAGTTTTGGATGTAATATCCAACAGGTGGGAATACATAAAAAGAAGAGGAAACCAAATTTCAAAAAGGGAAATCTTCAAAGAACACAATTCGCATATCTTTATATTAAACTTTTGAAATTTTTCCTGCAGCTTTCAATATAAATCTGAATAATTGAGATTTTTGAATTTTTATTCACTGGTAATATTTGTACATATTTATAAGCCACATATAATATCTTAATAATTGTATGTATTGAGTAATTATTAAATCAGAATTAACACATCCACTACTTCAGATGTTTTTGATTTGATGAGACCCATCAATACAGACTCTAGCAGCTGTTTTGAAATTTCATGCTACTGTGCAATACTTCATCAAAACCCATTCTTCCCACCTACTGCAAATGCACCAACTGACCAACATCTCCCCACCCATCCAACACTTCAGGTTCCCAGTTACTGGAAATCATTATTCTACTATCTATTGTGTGGGAACAACTTTTTAAGTTTCCACATCAAAACCCAATTGGTATTTGTCTTTCTGGGGATTAAACCAGAAACATAAAGATACACACAAATTATTTTTTGTATGTTTCAAGAGCAGATGAAAAAAATCTCCTCTCTCTCTCTCTCTCTCTCTCTCTCTCTCTCTCTCTCTCTCTCATGTGGAACATTTTCTATATTATTCCCAGGCAATCAAATTTGAAATTTTTGGACAAACATTGGGTGCTCTAGATCTGGTTGTAATCATTAACCTTCATGGATAGGACCATATTCTATAAAATCCTTCATGCCTCATGAGAATGTAGAACTTTTACACTGAATAAAGCTATGCGTGTTTCTTTTTACTTTGCATCCCTCAAAAACATTTATGATTCTGTGTTCTGTCCTAATATGAATGGTGCAAGATGCAAATGAACAGAGATTTCACCTATTGTACTTATCTTTTTGTAATCACAGGCATGTATGAATATCTGTATTGTTCAGAATAAAATTAACAGAATGAAAAATAGAGAAAAATGGGAAAAATGAATAACCATGTTTATTAAAAACTCAATGGAACAGAAAGCATTAAGTGAAAGACAATATATAATATCTATAATTTGATGTTCTCCAGATGGACTAATAATTAAACTGGCAAAGACTACATGAAAATATGTGTAATAATCCATTTTCCTAGACTTTTTCATCCTCTAGAACAGTGACAGTGAACCTACAGCATCTGGGCCTAAGTGGGCTGCTTGTTATTGAAAACTGTAGAGGGTTCACCATCAAAGCTGTAGAACATGCCTAGTTAGTATTTCTTCAATGAGTAAGGACTTATCTTTCTGCATACATGGATATTTAACATATGAAAAGGATGTATTTCAACTAAGTGGAGAAATCCTGAACAGTTAAATAAAATGTGGCATAAATGAGTATCTGTATGGAGAAAAACTAAATTGATTCCATAGTTCACATTTCTCATGAGAAATAAGAGATACTAAAAACCTAAGTAGGAAAGTGAATGTTACATTTTAGAGGAACATCAAAAATTACATAAACTTCATTTGTATGCAAAGTTATCTGGGAGAAGACAAACTGAGAATTAAGAATATAGACCTCAATCAGTGATAAAATTTAAATCACATTATAGCTAAAGGTATCTTTCTAGTATTGATAAAGAAAAAACTAAACTGAAAATTTCATTTAAATGCTAACAAATGTAGAAAATGGGCATGAGTTTAAAAAGCAAATCAAAATGTTTTTCCTACTCAGACATAAGAAATGGACTCAGTTCATTCAATGATGCTCCAGAAGTAATTATTCATTTCTCTATTCAGCTTGATTTATAGAACAAATCTTACATATGTTCAATTTGTAATGAAGTTGATCTAAGGTGCTCAATCTATATTCTAATTGAGCTTCTATTTTAATTGCTAAACTGTCTACTCTGTGCTATACATTACTGAGTTCAGTGTTTCCTTCTATTTTCTGCATGTTAAATAAAAGTATCAACAAATTAGTCAAGCAAGCAATTAACCACAGTAAAACCTCAAATCTGGGCTGGGCTAGTCTAACACTCAGGTGCCACAGGTACAAGTTCTTGACTCCAAGCCTCTAAGAAGCTTCCTTCAGCACAGTCTCAACTGTAGTGCTCACCTGGATGAGTTTTCTCAATGAAAGGGGTTCATGGAAGGCCAAATTCCTCCCTGAATAGTTTACTATGCAACTTGAAGCTATGTTGCCACCAAGACATTACAAAGGGCTCAAGTGTTATTCCCAAAGTCAGATGTAACAATCCAAAGTAAATGAACACATCCCATTCAGACCAAGGATGTACATTCCAGGGGACTAAGGCAGGGAAATAGTGAAAGATCTGTGTATCTGTTTGTTAAGCACATCCCCCTCTTTTTATCCCAGGTCTGAGCAGGTAAATTCCCTGTGGGATATTGCTCTGCAGAAAGCAATTTTCCTTGCTGATTCTCAGGTCCCCAAGACACCAAGTTAAATGCCAGGTGAATTGGTCTATATTACTTCTTTTTCATGGTGGTGCCATCTGTTCTCCAATGGCCTAACCACATAAAACTTAATCCTGAAACTGGGCTACAGCTGTCTCCAAAGTTTGACAGTGAAAGTCTTTCTTTATAAGGACCCGTAGATTCTCAGAGCCTTGATTGTTCTGTGGACAATACTGATATCTTCTATTCCTTTCTTCAAGAAGGGAACCTTTGAATAAGATGGCAAATACTGTGCCGGGGATTTAGCTCAGTGGTTCTGCCGCCTGCCTTACAAGCAGGAAGTCCCAAGTTCAATCCCTGGTACCAAAAAGAAAAAATAAATTCCATTTCTTAGGGTCAGGGATTTAGCTCAGTGGTTCCGGCACCTGCCTCAGCAAGCACAAGGACCCAAGTTCGATCCCAGTACCCCCCCCCCAAAAAGATGGCAAATCCTACAATACTTGGCTTCTTGATACATTTTCCAAAACAATAAAATTATAACAATATAACACAAATTAGGAACTCTCATTTGATCATGTACTTATCAAACTTTTAATAATTCAAAGAAATCCATCAAGATTTTATGCATATTGCCCTGAGATTAGCAATTCATAAGCCTTCTCTCATTTTTAAAGTATATTCTTTGTTGTTTACACTGTTATGAGTTTCATTCTACATTTATACAAATAGTGCTCCAAATGATTAAGTGACCAACTTAACTAGGAATTGTTATTCAAATATGTGAATTTTAGAGGGTCAGAAAGCTTCAGTGTATAACATAATGAAGAGTCATG